TTCCTTCTTTCCTTCTTTCCTTCTTTCCTTCTTTCCTTCTTTCCTTCAGAAGCTTAGTGAAAACACCATTTTTCATATAACAAATTCATCAAAAATGTTTCAGGAGATCTGTTAGAAGGTTTTAACAGGGACATGGTGAATTTTCAGTGTATCTACAAAATTAGAACTACAGCTCTAGATTTAAATGCAGTGTGTGTACATGTTTTCCTTTAGGTGATTTCAGTTTACATATCCTTTTCAGTAAAAAGGAATCATTTTGGTGCATTAAGTTGCTAAAAGAGAACTGTATTTAACGTTTCTACAAAGCCAGTATTATGATTAATTACTACACAGTTGTTTAAATACCAACATAAAGCTAATGTTTTCTTTTTTTTTCCTTTTTGGTACTCTAGGGAGCAGCTGTGGAAAGAGAGAAGATGAAAGTTCCTATTCCAAACTTGATACTCTTGTATGCTACTCTAACTCAGAGCTTGAAGGTTGTGACCAAAAGAGGATCAGGTAAGTAAATCTTTCTCTGCTCTTACAATATGTTTTGAAAGAAGAAATCCTTAAAATTTATAAATATACTTTATGATGTTGTTATAGTTGTTTGAAGAATAATTAGAAGGAATTAGAATTCTGCAGCAAACCAATTTAGTAACTTCTGTATTATTTTAGACTCTATTCTATGGTGTGAACTTGATGGAAAATCAAAATAACAGTTCATCTGCTAAAGGAGAATATCTTTTTTTTTTTTTTTCCTCCACTGTATCCCCAGAATTGTTTAGCTTACTTAAAGACTTGATAGCAGTCACTGAGCTACTGTACTTCAATGTGAACAGTTTATCTATTTGACTATCTTCTTTATGTTGAAGAATATCTTGGATATGCATGTAGCTTTGGCTTAGACCGTTTTTTATAATAATAATAAAAAAATCAGGCACATTAAATTTAATAAATTTAATAACGATGAAAAGTGAATAAGAAAATGCATTTTTGAAGGGACTATCACATATGTTGTGAAAGATTTGTGCAGCAAGGAAAATATAGGTGGCTTTTCAGGAATCCAGCAGAGGGTGATATATTTGCCCATCATCTTTCATGTGTTACTGTTTGTATGTTTAAAAGAAAAAAAAAAGAACTTTGATACTGAGACAATGGTTGTGTTTTTTCATCCTGAGATTCTAACTTCCCCTTCTATTCCTTTTCATTGGATAATGGGAAAATTGCAGGATAATATTTCTGCAAACTCTTACTTTGATCTGCGGGTGTAAGGAAACTAAATCCTTGATGGAGGATTTGATCCCGTGTTGATAGGATTAATTATTTTTGTTGTAACTAGTTAATTTTCTTTTGTCATTTGATTGCTCTGGGTGGCTTTTGTTGTACTGTTCTAGAAGTCTGGACTTGATTTGTTTATTTATTTATTTTCTTTTTGTTTTATCTGTTTCCAGCTGGAGTTGGCTGCTAGCAATGCTTGTAGTAGTAAAGAGATGCTTAGGGAGATCTTTATACATTTTGGGCAACAGTTTAAATAACATCTGTATTTTCAATAGATCCTACTCGGAACATATGAAACTAGTTCTGTCTTCAATGTTTTAATGACCGTGGGAAAGAAAATAAGGAGTACCACTCTAATATCTTAAAATATTTCTCAGTCAGGACTTGAGACTGTGATATATTTAAGCTCAGGAAAACTGGATTCTATGTGCAGAACAAAGGAGTTGGTGATGAGATGATGTATTTGCAACATGACGTCTGCCTAGACAGAAATCATTTGAACTTGTCTGGGTGAGGTTGTTCTTTTTGATCACAGTTGAGCATTTGTGAGCTTTCAGTTGAGATCCCTTAATCCAAATGTAGTATAAACAGTATCAATCCTCTTGAAGTAATTTTTACCATGACAAACATTTTAAAAGGAAACAAAAAAGCAGCCAGTTATAAAATACTTCCCACTTCAATGTGACAATAATAAGAAGTCAAGTTTTCTTTGCCTTTTACTTCATTGTTCATGCTTGTATCATCTTTCTGAGATTAACCAATTGAAGGAAAAGTGTTAAATATTCATGTTAATTTCTGTTTTGGAAAGTTATGTAATTGATGTCCAGGCAAAGAAAAAAAGGCTTTTTCAGCTGTACTGAATATTTTCTCATCCTGTGCAGCAAAAAAGGAAAAGCTTTAATGGAAGTCTTTAAATCTTACTACAACATGGGTCTTTTTTTATGGTTTTGCATGAAATCTGCTTTTATAGTATTTAGTTTATCAGCTACATTGCAGAGAAGACTGTTTTGTCATAGTATATGATGGAAAAGAAAAAGCCGAGTTCTACTGAAATTTCAGCTTTTACTGTCTTTCTTCATGCCATTTAGTGACTTCAGATGTGGTGAACTTCTATAAAAGTAGGTGGAATGTAATGAGTAGATGATAATGCTTAGCTTAATTTCTCTTTTTTCTTTTTTTAAATTTTTTTCCTTGGCTGATTTGGGAGGAATATTTTTCAATCCTGAATTGCTTCTATGAAGAAAATGTGGGTGGTTTTTTTTTTTGTTTGTTTTTTGTTTTTTTTTTTTTTTTTTGTTTTGTTTTGTTTTTTTTTGTTTTTAAAGGAAGTTTTAGAAAATAAGATTCATTTATGTATACAGTGAAAATACTGCTTCTTCCTCCTGAAGCTAATCAATCTGTAGTTATAAGCAAGTTATCTATAGTTATAGGTAGTTATATGTAAGGAAAAAGAAGTGTAGTTTTATGTGAGCATGTTAATCAGAGGCAGCAAATGGTGAGGTTTGTATATGTTTCGTTGTGTGCACTGCATTCTGACACCTGGATCAAAAGTTTGGCTGTGGCTTACTTTGTATTCATTACTGTGTCTCTAGGAACCTTGTTTTATATGCCTGAAGTGTGATTTTATTTCAGAGTTGGATGCAACTGTCCTTCTCCTATTTCTTTCATAAAGATTGAATATCAGAGCAACATAGAAAACTGTATTATACAACTACTTTAATATAGGCAATTTTTGAATGAAAACAAGAAAACAGAACTGAACCTTTCATTTGAAATTTATTGTGTCTCAATTTTGGAAGTGTAATGAATCAAGACTAAATTAAAATTGAAGCATGTTGTAAATGTTATTTTTAATTGAAGAAGTAGAAGCTTCAAAATAAAATCTTTTACATGCCTTTTTAGAAGAATGTTTTTTTCATAGTAACTGAATATTTGCTCTTAATGGTGTCCTGCCAACCTCTTCTACCCTTTTCTATGATAGTATATTTTCATATTGATGTAAATATCTCCATATTAGTAGCCGTTTATTTTTTTTTTTTTACAGATACATTGCTTTTTGCTGTTATGAATCAAAGTAATGTATTAGGAGTTAAGGAGTTGTTGCATTAGTATTCTCAGCTAATTTTAAATTAGCTGGCTCATGGCTGTGTGACGTACTTGTGTAACACTTCAACTTTGTATTTGATTCTGTTTCTATCAGGTATTTAAAAAAATTCCAGAAAATACATTTCTGTGAGGCAGTGAATGATTTCAAATGGCTCTAACATAAAAAGGATTTATTTTACATCTTGAGTACTTAGTAACTGTGCTATTACATAAAAATGTCTGTGCAAGCAGTTTGAGAAACAATTTCATTAATATGTAAAAATTATGCAATGAACATGTTCCTGTATATCCAAGTGTGCCAGTAAATAAGACTTAAACCTGTCAATTTTATTTGAATGCACAATTCCTGTAAGTTTTAATGCCTTGTCAGACAAGGAAGAGAAGATCCTTCGTCTTAAGCTTTGCCATTCCAAACACTAGGCTAAATAAAATACTGGAACATACCATTCCCTCTTGTGATTTTTTTATTATTATTATTACTTTTTTTTTACCAAGGTTGCTGAACAGAGAGGATTTTTTTGGTGTTAAATAATCTTCAAAATGGGTGGGAGGAATGGGGGAAAAGTTTTTTTTTTTTTTTTTTAATGCATAAGATATTATAACTTCATTGTATAATTAGACAATTAGAGTATTGACATTTTAGATACTAATAATAATTTGAAGTCATCTTGTATCAAAAAAAGTTGAGAATTCTTATTTTCTGTGTTCCACTGTTTTTCTACCGATTGCGTTGTGTGGAGTTCATGAAGGAGCTATGTTCTGTGCTCACCTGTGTGAAAGAAAATCTTCTCTTTGTCATATTTATTCTGTGAAAGAAATCAAATTTAACTGAGCGGACAATCTCTTGCATGATGGTTTATCAGGAGATGTACAGGGTCCTTCACATCGTTATTGTGGGATTAAAGTCTGCAGATGTATTATTCATGTAGGAAAAAATGATTATCTTTCTAATGTATATTATCTTTTTGTCTGAGTTACAAGTAATGAGTATGGGTGGTTGCAGTCATGCTTATATAGAGCATCATGAACTTCATGAAAATGAGAAGTCAAATTTTGACATTGCAGCCCCTGTTGATGTTTCTCAATTTTAGTTTGCCTTGTAGGAGCTGTTTTTAGTAGATAATTTTAAATAGATAACTGCAATTCAGGGTGCATTTTTGTTCTAGAACTAGCGAAATTCCAAGGAACAGAATGGAAATATATATTGAAAAAATCAAGTAATTATTTTACTTGACTGATTTTGTACACTTTAACAACCTATAGTAGACATTTTACTAAATTATGGCCCTCTGAATTTTTACAAATGATTTCTTATTTACATCTATTTTAGACCGTAATATTAGTTATATTGTGAATATCTCTGTACAAATGAGGCACTTGCTTTCTTTCTCTAAAACATTTCCTTTAGTTGGAACAGAACAAATGATTTTAGCATTGTTGTCCTTAGCATCAAGAAAGCCAAGATTTTTTTTACCTTGTGACAAATGCCATAATGTGTATTCAACAACTTATAATAAGTAATATATGAAGGCATAAAATAAAAATTCTTCACCTTAGCTATATATAATGAATTTATCTATGACATGCAATACAGCTTTGAGAATGTTCTAAAAGGGAAAATATGTTACATTTCTACCTAGCAACTGAATTGTCTCCATTATACAATAAAGCTGGTTATAACAATTTAAAAAAAAAATCTATAATCCAGGTTATCTGGATTTTCTTTTTTTGAGAAATTGTATGCAATTAAATACTGAGCCAGAACAGGAATCTCATACCCATTATTTGAGCATCTGTGTATCTTATGTATTTTCTTTTATGAGACTTGGTAACCCAACTGCGTGTTACTATATAACTGCCACTCTATTCTTCTGAGCATCTTTCCATCAGTGGTGTCATTCTTTTTTTCATTCTGGCTGTGGTTTGTTTGCCTAAGCATTTTCTTTTGTCAAAAGGAAATTAGTTGATGAATGTCATATTGGATCTGATATTCACTGAACAGTAATCAGATGGTTCAAAAATTAAATGAGGAGGCGTCTTCCTTGTTTTTTTTCTGTACAATTTATAGACTCATGCATGGTACTCCCAGCACACTGAAGTTGGAGCAAAGCATTCAGAATGATTAAAGGATA